TACATTTTCACATCAATATCTGTCTATATTTCTGAGATGAGGTATTGCAATGATTTACACTATTTACATTGTTAAGACTGTTGTCCTCATCTTTGTTGCACTGTGGCAACAAATATGAGGACAACAGTCTTAACAATGTAAATAGTGTAAATAATTACAATACCTCATCTCAGAAATACAGATAGATCCTGAAGAAGGCCTTCGCTTCGGCCGTTGTTCACTCACGCCTTCATCAGGATCTTTCTATATTTCTGAGATGAGGTATTTTAATTATTTATATTATTTACATTATTCACACTGTTGTCCTCATCTTTATTGCCATATTCACGATGCTTCGGCCGTTGTTCATTCCGATCTTCTTCAGGATTTGTCTATATTTCAGAGATAAGGTATTGTAATCATTTACACTATTTACATTGTTCACATCTTTGTTGATTCATCTTTGCCGTTGTTCATATTCATCAGGATCTTTCTGAGCCGTTGTAATCATTTACACTATTTACACTGCGGCCTTCATTCAGGACGCTTCGGCCGTTGTTCACTCCGGCCTTCATCAGGATCTTTCTATATTTCTGAGATGAGGTATTGTAATTATTTACACTGTTTACATTGTTCACACTGTTGTCCTCATCTTTGTTGCCATATTCACGACGCTTCAGCCGTTGTTCACTCCGACCTTCTTCAGGGGATTGGAATTTTGAACTGCTCCCTTTATTCTCATATATTTGTCCTCAAACGCTAAGATCTTTCTCTATGTTTCGGCCAATAGTTTCCACGTTTGTTATCAATATTGAAGGCTGGAGACTACCAGCGATTTGTGACGTGACGTACAGACTGTACAATTTACCGGTAGTCCTCCCCTCCATACATAGCTAAGAACAAAAATCTGTCTTCTTACAGTCAGTAGTTAGTACTTCCTTCCTACTTTCCTTTACCACGTTTTTAGCTTCTATCACCAACACACCTGTATAACTTATCACTACGAGAGCGTTATGTTTTGTTTAACGATCAAAAGCAAATGCTTTCATTGAACACAACATTGAAAAATCTGACTAGCAGTTGCATACAAATCGCAAAGACTGACACGTCTACACAAAATAAAAATACCCTGATCGGTTGCAAAAGTTACTGGTGTCACCATGGGAGGCAGTAACGCTATAATCAGCGAAACTGTGTTACCTCCCCTGGTTGTAGTAAAATTGTTAAGATTATATTTCCTTGCCATTACAATTTTTCTTAAAACTTCCTTCTTGATCACATGATTCATCCAATTTATTCCTAGCATTCTCTGCTGACGCACTTCTCCTTATGTACACCCTTGTGTAAATTAATTGAAACAAAACGAATAATTCTGCTATTATTTACTTTTTTCGTTATTTTACAATGACTCAGTGCACATGTTAGTACTTCGTATGTTCATTCCACGAAGTCTTTCTCTAACCACAAATTCTCGATTGGATTTAAATCAGGAGAGTTTCCAGGACAATCGATAGTACTTTAATTTGATCACTGGGATGGATTGCCATTGTGTTTGTGCAGCGTTACAATTTTCGTACGCTTCCTTCGAGTAATGTCCATCGCAGACAATGGCCATAGGACAACTAATCGACAGTCGAGACAATAGTCTCTGAGCGTGATAAAAATCAAGGCCAAACAAATTTCATCATATACCCCGAAAATAGATTTATATTACTGCACACCACTGCAAATGACCCAATCTGAGGAAAAAAATAAAAATCGATTACACCATGTCACTACAATGGGTCTAAAACTGAGCGAATGGTGAAAGAAGGGAAACTAATGCAGCTGTCCCAATTAATTTGCACAAGGGGGTATGAAGAAAACGTTATTTTTTCTTTTCGCACCTTTTTCTTTGTTTCGCTGTGTATAATTGTTGTCTGTTTTTCATAACGTCGAGAATTTCATATAGCATAATTTTTTTTGGTTTCTTTTTTTTCTGGGCATGATCTCGTACAGCTTAACATGTTCTATTCCTAATCTATCTGGGTTTTTTTTTGTCTGTTGCCTGACGGGCCTTTGTTACTTTGTTTTAACCCCACACTCAGGATTTGTCTTAATGGCTGAGTTAGTTGATTGGTGAGCAGAGACGTGAAGACGAGGAAGTCAAAACAGATAATACAAGAACAAAGAAAATTGCTTAATCTAAGATTCAATAAAGAATGGAACGCGTGTTATATATCTGTAGGTTATACTTTTTATTTATTTTTTTTTTCAATTGGACTGAATAGAGTTGAGGTAAAGTCCTTCCTTTATATATATATATATATATATATATATATATATATATATATATATATATATATATATATATATATGTATGTATGTATGTGTGTGTGTGTGTGTGTGTGACTTTGCTGCTGTAAACATTTAAGAACTTTATTGTTATACTCATAGCTGATTTATTTATTTTTGGCTTTAATTCTCTGATATAAATGGCTTCTAGGATTTCAAGTATTTGCTTATTATTATTTTGGTGTTATATACCTGTATTTTCAACAAATATCTGTCTAGTTTGTGAATGTGGACAGGAGTTTATCTCTAATATATATATATATATATATATATATATATATATATATATATATATAAAACTTTTTGAATTTGTAGGTCTGATGATTTGGATCGTGATTACGATTCCAATGATAACCATGGAGTATTAGTGTTTGAGCCTTTATATATATATATATATATATATATATATATATATATATATATATATATATATATATATATAATGGCAGAGAGCCGAAACCATCAATATGATTATTAAAATTAAATTGAATTAGTAGTAAGCCCTTTTTTCATCCTCAAGCGAAAATTTAGGAGCGCTTGAGGTTGAAACGGGCTTGTTACTTTTAATATATATATATATATATATATATATATATATATATATATATATATATATATGATGGCCTGAATATTGCGAGCAAGCATGAAACAGAATATGCCCAGTTGGTGTTCACTCTTATATTTACATGCATTCTATTTTTATTTATATTTATCTTTCTTTCTTTTTATAGGCCGTGTCCTTTAAGGACTTAGTCGATTATGACTCTCCATTCCCTCCCCCATCCTCTGTAGCTCTCAATAAGTTTCGTCCCTCAGCCACCTCCCCCAGACCACGTTTTCTTGCTCAACCCATATTTATAGTTAACCATTATAATTAACATGCGCTTTTTACAAATGCAATTATATTTTCTTGTATTTCGTCTTTTTTGCCCGCATTTTTTTATTTTTTTTTTTTAGTCGATGAATATAATCGATGCATTTTAAGATAAACTTTGCCTCTAGAATTCCTGTCGAAGGAAACAGGCTCGACTTAATTTTTGTTTGACGCAGAACAACCTAGCGGCTGTTCACCTGAAAATGTTTACCCCCCTTGGAATTTATGCTCCATTCGTCACCACTTCAAGCGAGATAACAAGCCTTTCTCTACTCTAAGCATGTCCCATGGAGAGAAACAAAGTTGATTCGTTTGTTTTCTGTTTGTTATTCCCGGCTAAAAGAAAAATGTCCAAACCTATTGACAAAGACTGCAAATCATGAGCTAATAGAATTATTTAGTTTACGCATAGAAACAGGATGGATATCCGTTAAAATGAAAGCTTCCTAAATATATAAAACAATTTCGCAAAAGAAAACTTTTATTTTGAAATATTTCGTCGATTAAACATCATCATCAGGATTTTATTTCTTATTAAATCTACTTTAGCAAGGCGAAATATGATTTAAGATAATCATCTGAGCGCTTGATATGATTAGCGCAAATCCCGTTATGCCAGGTTAATGTGGATTTAATTGAAATAAAATCTAAAGTGAAGACCCCCTTCAATCTTTCCATATATCAAAATTGACATGGATAGTTTCAGACCTTACATCGCTGAAGGCACTTTCCCTGCTTTCTTCAAATACAAGTATTAGGTTGGTGCAAAAATAATGCCGTAATAATGTCATTTTTTGACGTATTTTTTAACGTCAAAAACGGCATTATTACGTCATTATTTTTGCACCAACCTAATAAATCCGCCAGAATTGCTTTTCTCGCCTCAGAATGGATACTTCTTGGCATGAAAAATTATATTACGTATAAAACAGCCTGTCATGGTTCAGATCAGAATAGGGTGCAACAATAGCTCACTTTCTGTATCCCATGGCTGTGATAGGACCTGCTATGGTCTCAGGTTTGGGAAACTCGTCAACTCCCAAACAAAGAAAGCAAAACACTGGGAAAGTATGAAAATAGATATTTATAGTAAAATACCAAGATAGATTTCTATAAAGAAATTACCAGCAATTTATTTTTACAGTAAAATGGCCAACATTACACTTTTACATTAAAATTGTAGACACGTCAAAAAAAGAAAATTGCTATGATTAATCTCGTTACTTGAAAGCAGTAACAATTTTTCATTCTTCGTTTGATTTTGTCAGGTTATTTAATAAAAAAAATGCAACTAAATGATTATAATTTAATAATTTATTCTCTTGAATAAAAGTTGAATTTTCATATTTAGATAACCCATAGAGGTGTTGATATGCCTCTTAAAAATAATCAACGCATCTCTATCAAATAAAATGGCGTAACAGAACCTTTGCTGTATTAAGGGCAGTGCGCAAGAGAGCTCTGAAAAATATCTGTGCAGATGATACCGCAGTCTATGTGTGCACGGCTGAAAATCAGCATAGCTAGAGCCTGGCATGTGACCTTATTCGCACAACTCAACGGGTCGGGTGAACTGAATTGTAGCATTAAATGAACCCCAAGGCAAGCAAGTAACATTTAATCACGCCAGAGCAGACAATGAATTCCCACCATTTATGACGAATGATTGTACTCTCAAAGAGGCACCGGGCTTTGAGCGTCTGTTTCGACTCAAGATCCATCGGTAAAGAGGCTCTTGAAGAATGGCCGGATCCTTATGTCGCTTCAGAAAGTATCTGACTCCTTATACTATGCTCTATCATTACAAGCCTTTCGGACATATCGCGTTGAAATATTGGTTCTCGTACGATCGCAGAGGTTAAGCAACGTCGAGCCTGGTCACTACTTAGATGAATGACCGCTTGGGAATACCAGACGCTGTAAGCTCGGATGTGCTGCTTGTGTAATCAATAATGACTCGGAATTGTTAATCAGAGAGCCGAGTTCCAATTCCATTTCGGTTCGTTATATTCACTTACGTGCGAATAATACCCTTGGGAAAGATTAATCCATAAGTGGATATCTCGTCGTCCCGCAGTTATGGATTAATCAGTAAGGCTTGTATCACAAACCATTATTATCTAAAAAAAATTCTTACAGTCTAAAAATATTTTCTGGCTTTAAATAACCTACAAAGGGTTGATAAGCCATAGACAACGAATGAATCGATGAAATATATCATTGCAAGAGTCAAATCGGAACAAAAATTGGAGTATTGCTGCCGCATCTGGGCTAGAGCCGACCAATATTCTCTTTCCCGCCATGACAGTATTCAAAAATGTTTTATAGATAATGAATTATTTTTCCGCTCTACAACCCTTTTCCCCACAGACGCGATGTCGCAAGCTCAGATCGCTATTTCCATGGAAAATGTACTGAGGAGTTACATTCCCGGGTTCAACCAGTTCAAATTTTACAATTATCACCAGTCATGTCATGTACACAGAAGTGAACCATCTACATTCCTTTTGTATTCCAACCGTAAAAAGGAAGCTGTATTAGGTGTTGTGGTAGGATCCACCTAATTTGCATAGTGGAGTACCGACCATATAAATATGGTTGGTACCGGGAAGAGAGGGGGGAATCAAGAGATTCAACCAGAGACTCTGCCCGACTGTGACTCAGTCAACACATTCTCCAGGAACGGTCTTACCAGGAATATACAAAAGACTATATGTAAATACTGTGTACACTTTCTCGTTTCAATACATTTTGTTCTAAGTACATTTTGTGTTGCATTATTATTCCATGCATTAGTCAAGTTTCAACATTAGAATAGCTTCTTCCAAGGTGCTACCGTTTTGGTAAACAGACACCCGAAAGCACACCAGTACAATTCCAATCTCGCCAACTCTAAGATTAACTATTATCTATCCTACATATATTCATAATCTATCATTTTGACATCGATAAAAGAATTCCATTCATTAACCTGCCATGTTGGGTCTCTCTTGAGTTTTGTTTTGGATGAATCATTTCATAAAAAATTTCTGTAATGATTAATTTATTAACTTAATATAAGATTTACAGTTAGGGTAAGTCATTAAATAGAGCAATTAAAAGCACCAATATATTGATTAAAAGTTTCAGTATAGTTCAATAACGACAAGCAGCATGAATTTCACCCTTCTAGGTCCACTGCTGATGACCTAACTGTAATAAATTTAAAGCATTGTTATTTTCACTGGTAACATCAGTTTATAATAATACATGATTTGTATTGTTCTTTATTCGCCGTTACTTATCGATTGGAACTTTTTAACTAATCTATAGAAGTATATTGTTTCTGCTGTCCTTCCACGGAATATCAGAACAGGTAAGCGCCAGATAGCAGACCTTTCAAGATCTGGGCCAGTCCATCAACATATCATCGGTAAAAAATAGATACAAAACATTAATTTACATGTAAATAATTTATAAAAAATATATAGTTTAAGGGGATTTTTGACTTTTACATGGTATTGCATATTTATGCAAGATCATACCCCGACATTGAACTCACAATCTCCAGCAAACTCTTCTGAGCTTTTATCTGTTATGCTTTTCCAATCAAGTAAATATTCCAAGAACGCTCATTCTGGATTGCATGTGTCAAATCAAATTCTTACAATATCCATTTTCCATAAAGAAAATTCGATTAAGATTTTCACCGCAGGCTATAAACTTCGATGATTAACTCTTAAATGATGCTGAGATAGTTCTACGCTGATTTCGTGGTTAAAAGAATTTCAAAATATCTTTTCAAGTGAACATCTTTGAACAGAATCCGCACAATGATAGGAGAAGAGGGGAGGTGTGGGGTATCAGTCTGTTTCTTTTTTTCCCCAGAAATAGGAAATAGTTCTTCCCGAATCAAATAAAAATAACATATTGATTTTATGGAGGTGTACATGCAATATTTTCATTTTTATGCTTTTTTCCTTTTGCTTTTTTGTTGTTGTTACCTTCGATTTTGGCGTTAAAGTTGTATTTTTTTAGAATATTTAAAAAAAGGAATGAATGTCTGCTTGAATGTATTTGTTCCTTTCTTTAAGTCAAACTGGTGCTTAGATTCGATGAAAGATTATAAAATACATGAAGGTTTTCAGATTTATTTGCTTTTCAATATATATATATATATATATATATATATATATATATATATATATATATATATATATATATATTAAAGAGACAGACAGGGTACTGTCATTGCTTTTCATTAAGTATTTCTTTTCTGGACACAGTCCAAATAATCTGTAATTCCGAGCGCTTTAGGCTATACTTTTCGCCATTATGAAGAATATTTTTTCTTTTTAATTGGGTGTATGGGTTGTGTGTACGATTCTAGAAATATAGGATAAAGATAAATAAAAAGCTTAATCGTAGTACCTTGTCTGTTGTCTTTAATGAAATATGTACAAATGAAGGAATGCTGCCTAAATACACTAATTATATATATATATATATATATATATATATATATATATATATATATATATATATATATATATATATATAATTTTTTTTTAAAAATATGATACCAACAGGCTACATAAAAGATCTCATGTTTCAAAATAAGAGCCGAAAACGTCAATATAATTATTTGAATTAAATTGAATTAAAGTACTAAGCTCTATTCCATCTTCAAGCGAAATTTTTTTGGAATAACTTATTTCTGAAATTTACGCGTTTTATAAGCATATTCATTATTAAAATCAAAATTTCTATGGTAACGGCTAGAGCAATTGTTTAAAGAAAAGGGTGTTAATAATTTGTATCAATATCTCAGTTACATTCACAGATGTCAAGTCAGGGTAAGGTTGGGGGTCTAAATTTAAAGCGGAAGAGGACATCGTCTAGTCTGGTTAAGCGTATATGGAGATTTATTTATTTTACCTAACGAGTTCTTTCCTATTTTCTACATATTTTATATATATATATATATATATATATATATATATATATATATATATATAATCGACTCCCCTGTCGAGATCCGACGTATGAGGGTCAAGAAGATCAGTTTCCAGGAAACCGACAGCCCGACACCGGCACATGGGATTTGATTATAGTGGTAAAGGCCTCATGCAGGACCATCCACACTTTTTGAAGGGACGAATACAGAGACCGGGTGCACCGAATGCCACAAGGTTTCCAAACGACCCTCCGCAGGTTTTGAATTCAGAGTTGTCCTTCTCCTAGACTAGTTGCCATCCAAGGCTATAGAACCCAGTCAGCTATTTTACCCATAGCTGGTAAAGAGAGAGGAAGATGATTCATACCTTTCCCAAGGGTATTAGCACGTAAGTGAATGTAATGGATCCGACTGAAATTCGAACTCGGCTCTGCGATTCCTCAATCCAAGCCGCTATCCATTACTCCACCGTGCCTCTCATACATACATATATATCTGTATTAGAAGGGCGGGGCTATAACTATCTTATGGCTATATGGTTATAGCTCCGCCCTTCGAATACAGACAACAGCGCTAACCAATCATGCTCCAAACTTCCTCCGACGAAGAACAATATATGGACCCCACCAAGCGGACGTAACCAACACTTGGATCAATATGCCCACAAAGCCAGACAACACATGGATAACTTCTTAAAAAACAAAGGACACCAGATAAAAAAATACAACTTATCCAAAATAGAACACCAAGCCATCTATACTCTTAAAACAACTGAGACATAATTATCATACCAGCCGACAAGGGCGGGAGCTATAACCATCTTAGACACTAACCACTACATTAAAGAAGCAGAATCCCAACTTCAAAATAACAGATTCTATGTACCCTTACCTCTAGACCCAACTAGCACATTCAAAACAGAATTATCACTTTCACTCAGAACCTGAACTAAAACATAAAAAATACCATAAAAATCTCTTATTCCTGAGAACCCTAAAACAGCAACATTCTACACTATCCCAAAACTACATAAACTCCCCAAAATCCTTTCAGAAAAACCCTAACACTTTTTCATCCGACCCACATCAAATTACACAATCAAATAATGAAGAGAACATCTATGAAATTTCAAAACCCTTAAAATCATGCCACCTGGTAGACCCATAATATCAGGCATTGGTACCCTCACAGAACTTATATCTGAGTACATAGACAATATCCTAAAACCTTTATTGCCTGACATACCCAGTTATATTAGAGATACTACTGACTTTCTCAACAAATTACAAAACATTAACTTAGTCCACCATGATACAATCCTAGTAACGATGGATGTTTCGTCCCTTTACACAAACATTCCACATGTTGAAGGAGTATCAGCTTGCTATGAGTTCCTTAGTAACAAAAAATTACCTAACTACCAAATTACAGATATATGCCAATTAATAAATTTCATCTTAACACATAATAATTTAAAATTCAACAAGAAACACTATTTACAGATTAGTGGCACAGCAATGGGCACAAAAATGGCACCTAGTTATGCTAATATCTTTATGCACATTCTAGAAAAGAATATACTAGACAATTCAGAATATAAACCATCACATTACTTCAGATATATTGATGACATTTTCTTACTATGGACTCATGGATCAGAAAAATTAAAAACCTTTTTCACTTTCTGCAACAATTTCCACGATACAATTAAATTTACCATGGAGCACTCATACACATCCATCCCTTTCTTAGACGTTATGATAAAATTAAACAAACATACACTTTCTACCAGTCTATACAACAAACCCACAAACCAACATAAATTCCTGCACTTTAAACGCTGTCATCCCTTTAAATTAAAAAAATCTATTGTATACAGCTCATTTCTAAGAATCAAACGCATATGCTCAGACCATTTAGATTTTCTATACAACATTAATAACTTAACAAAACAATTCCTAAAATGCAAATACCCAATAAAAATAATA